GTAAGTGGTAGAGCACCAGCCTTGAGGGAAAGAACTAAGTTTGAGGTTGTTGCCGGATACTGGGGCTCACGTCTGTAATCCTAGCTACTTAGGAGGCTGAAATCTGAGGATTGCAGTTCTAAGCCAGCCCAGGCAGGAAAATCTGTAAAACTCTGATCTCCAATTAACTACCAGAAAAAGCAGGAAGTAGAGCTTTGGCTCAAGTTGTATAGCACTAGCCTTGAGTAAAAAAGCTCAGGGACAGAGCCTAGGTCCTGCGTTCAAGCCCCAGGACAAGCAAAAATAAAAAAGGTTTGAGGTCATAAACACACCCCCCCACCTCCGCACCCCACCCCCACCCCCACCCCCATAATGCTAAGCTAAGGAGAGTGTACTTTTGACTTACTTTGGCTTTGCATTAATAAACCTGCTCCAACTTAGCTCTCCTTTTGTATCCATCCTTGAATTCATTCTCTGAAGAGACCAAAAACCTTCTAGCCCTGAGATTTGATAACTTGAATCCAGTGACCCCCTGGCTGACTTCCTAGGCACTGCCCATGCACTTTGCCAGCAGCCTCTCAACAAAGCCAAAGGGAATGGGACATCTTTCTGCTGGCTGTGTCAGCTCTGTGAAGCAGTTGGTTAAAATGAGTTATCTTCTATCTCAGTACAAATGAAACACTGAAGTCAGAGGACCCTAGCAGGCTGCTCTAAAGACAGCTAAAACACAAAGGGAAGGGCGTTCCAAGCTGGGCCTGTCACAGCGCAGGGGCTCTGCTGAGCAGTGTGGCTCTAGCGTGACTGGTGTGACCAAATGGATTTACTCCACTGAATATGCTTCCCTCCAGCTGCTGTCCCAGAGCTCTGGCATAAAAGCCAAGGTGGGCATGGGAGAGGCAAGGAGAGTGGCCCAGTTGTGCTGCAAAACAATCTTGAGGAGAGCAAGCACAGGAGCGCAGAGATGTTCTCTGTGCTCGGTGGGCTGGCACTCCTGGCTGGCTCCTTTCTGCTACTGAAGCTTGGCACCTTCCTCTGGGAAAGGGGCCACCTTCCGCCTGGTCCCTTTCCTTTGCCCCTTCTTGGAAACCTGTGGCAACTACAATTTCAGCTACATCCAGAAATGCTGCTCCAGGTAAGGAGTTGGCCCTTGAGGGAGGAGATGGAGGAATCCCTCTGTTACTGACCCAAGGACACTGAAGTAGGAAGAAAGAATTGGGATCAGTCATTGGGGATGGAAGGACCAGAGATCCTGGTCTTATTACTTGGTATGGATCCTTGAGACTTAGCTTTCTCACATGTCAAAGGCAGGAATGCAGGGGGACTGGAAAAACGGAATGTAAAGACTTTGTACAGAGTACCTGAGATGGGTTAAGAGGGAAGAGACAGTAAAAGCCTACTGAAGCTGTAACACAATGGAGAAAGGTGTGTGTGTGTGTATGTGTGTGTGTGTGTGTGTGTGTGTGTGTGTGTGTGTGTGTGTGCTGCTCTAGGTGAATGCTGATGGGACCTGAAGGCATTTTCTGAAAAGCCACCTGACACGAGAGTTGGGAGAAATGAGAGCCCACCAAAGGCACACTCAAGTAGCATCATTCAAGCAGTCTCCATACACAGCTACCTCCTGCGGTGGACAGGTGCTGTATGGAGAGGGGCATGAAATCATGAAATCCACTGGCCAAGCAGTGGGAGAAGACACCCACAGCAATGCTCAGCTCTCCTCTCTATCAATGCTGCATTTTATTATTTTATTAAATATTTTAGTGTATTATAATAATATATTGGATAACATATTAATATTGTTATTAAATATCTAGTTGAAGATCTCAGATAATTGAAATCTCCAGGCTCATAAGGCAGTGGAAAGAGCACTATCCTGAGAGTCAGGAGACCTGTGAGGTCCTGGTCTTATGTTTTTTTGGCATCTACTTTCTTTTCTTTTTTTTTTTTTCTGTCAGTCCTGGGGCTTGAACTCAGGGCCTGAGTACTGTCCCTGAGCCTCTTTTGCTCAAGGCTAACTGGACCTCTTGAGCCACAGTGCCACTTCCAGCTTTTTCTGTTTATAAGGTACTGAGAAATCAAACCCAGGGCTTTGTGCATGCTAGGCAAGCACTCTACCACTAAGCCACATTCCCAGCCCTTGGCATCTACTCTCTAATTCACTGAATGCAAACAGACATCCACTGATACTGGATGGACTCGAGTTATAGTGTGGCTTTTACTTATAGCTCTGTATAGTTGTAGACCCTGTCCACCAGCAGGCCTGATGGAGTGTAAGTGCTGGTTCCTGGCTATTTTAAATGTCCAGAGAGTAGGTTTGGCTTCTTGGGAAGTCAGTGGGGTGCTCTAAGATGGTAGAGTGTTGGGTGCAGCAAGGTGGGGGATTCGTGTTAAGAGGACGGTCCCAGAGAATGGGCCAGCTGTGCTTTGTCCACAGCCTGACATGCTTGGTCTCTCCAACAGCTGGCTCAGACTCATGGCACCGTGTTCACTGTGTGGGTAGGCCCCACACCCGTCGTGGTGCTGAATGGCTTCCGGGCCGTGAAGGAAGCTCTGGTCTCCAATTCCGAGCAGTTCTCTGGCAGGCCCCTGACCCCGCTCTTTCAGGACCTATTTGGAGAAAGAGGCAAGGCCGCCCCCTCCCCCATCATAGTGAAGAGCTGTCTGGACAGTCACTGTACTCAGGGACTCAGGGCTGCTTATCACATCCTTTATCAGCTCAAAAACACAAAGATAAACTTAACCAGCTGGCACTAGTGGCTCATTTAATCCCAGTTACTCAGGAGGCTGAGATCTGAGGATCAAAGTTCCAAGCCAGCCTGAGCAAAACAAGTCCATGAGACTCTTACCTCAAATTAACCACCAAAAAGCTGCAAGTGGAGCTGTGTTTCAGGTGGAAGATAATCAGTCTTGAGTGAAAAAGCCAACCAAGACCACAAGGTCCTGAGCTCAATCCCCAGGATGGGTATTAAAATCAACTCAGTATCTAAATCCAATCTCAGCCCCTTGCTGGCCTGTGACCTTGCACAAGTCATCCTCACATCCCCACAGTCCCCGCCCTGGCCCATGTGCTTCTAAATTAGATGGGGATAATGCATGCTCCCCACTTCAAGGATGTGAAGATTAAGTGAGCTTATGAGAGCCCATTACAGTGTCCTGCTCAGCAAGTGCCCCAACCCCTCCCGTCTCTCTCTATCTCTTCCTCCACTTCTTTCAGGGACTCCTGAAAGCAAAACAGGTTGGGGGCTGGAGGAAGGCATAGCTGAGCCCACCCTGAGGGCCCCATACTCATGGCCCACCACCTCAAAACGCCCCTTACCCAGAGCAGCAATGCAGAGCTGTCTGAGCTGCCTTCAAGGCCAGGTGGTATTGGCCTGAACACTGGGAGAGTCTAGTGACTGTCCCCCATCCTCCCGCCCTGGGCTCAGGGGTCATTTGCAGCAATGGGCACACATGGCGGCAACAGAGGCGCTTCTGCCTGACAGTGCTTCGTGAGCTGGGCCTAGGCAGACGGGCACTAGAGGAGCAGCTACAGCAAGAGGCAGCAGAGCTAGCAGAGGCCTTCTGCCGGAAGCAGGGTAAGGAATGAGCTGGGACAGGCCTATACCACCCATACATGCCTCTGAACACACACACACACACACACACACACACACACAGAACAGCCAGGGTGCATGTGTGTGAGGGGGGGGAGAGGGAGGGAGGGAGGGAGGCAGGGAGGAGAGACTGGTCTATGTGTGTGAAACCTGGCAATACGAACAATAGTTTTGAGATATATTAATAGACTGGAAATTTCTTCAGTGCTGATAGTCAGAAACGTAGGCATGCCAGCATGGTAGGAAGCCAGATGCCCTCCTTTCTGTCTGGGAAAGTCTTTTCATCAACATCCACACATCCAAGCATTAATTAAGTTTTTTGTAGCTGGAACTCACAGCCTGGGCACTGTCCCTGAGCTTTTGTGCTCAAGGTCAGCACTTACCTCTCAAGCCCCAACCCCACTTCCAGCTTTTTGGTAGTTTATTGGAGATAAATTCCACAGACATTCATGCCTGGGCTGGCTTGAACTGTGATCCTCATATCTCAGCCTCCTGAGTAGCTAGGATTACAGATGTGGGCCACCAGGCCTCCTGCTTACACCCCACAACCTTCTTCACATATTTCCCCTTCTGAAATGTTCTGGTCCCTTCCTGTGAGGATCCACGGCTCCATCTTTCACAGCTGAAAGACTTGAGGTCCCTGCCTAAGAGGTCCTCTGAATCCCAGATACCTTAGTTCCAGCTATAACTTACCTAGCCTTGCTTTTATTCACATAACTTACCAGTCTCTCCCACCTCTTTCTGCAAGTCCAGCATTGTCACAGAACCTGACTCACAGAAGTGATGGAGACCTTGCAGAGAGTATAAATGTAGGATGGGAATGAACGACTAGATCGTGCATGACTATCAAAGACTGGCCATGTGCTCAGAGCCGAGTTCTGTGTGCCTTCTCCTCTGAGCTCTGTCCCTTTACTCTCAGGCAGACCCTTTGATCCTCAGGTCCTCATCAGAAGATCCACGGCCAAAGTCATTGGGGCTCTGGTGTTCGGCCACCGCTTCCTCTCAGATGAGCCAATCTTCCAGGAACTGACTCAAGCCATCAACTTCGGCCTGGCCTTTGTCAGCACCGCATGGCGCCGGGTAATGGCACTTGGGAAGTCAGGTGTTCAGGCCATGGCATGGTTGGGGCTCAGGCTGGGAGGTTGCAAAGTGGGCGAGACAGAGGCTCCTTGAGCCTGATTCTGGTGTCCTTAGGTGTCTTCTGCTAAGCAAGCTGACAAGCATGGATGCAGGGGCAGGGAATAAGAGTCAGGACACTGCAACATCTTCGCTAGGTCTTAACACAATCACTGCTACCAGTGCTGTCATTATTTGGAATTTTCTAAATGTCAGGGCTGCCTGGGTCAGAAGCCCCAGCCAACTCAGCTGCCCTGACTGATGTCTGAGTGGGCTCTAAGTAGACCTCTCCCCCCCACCCCGCAGCTGTATGACATGTTTCCCTGGGCCCTCCGCCACCTCCCTGGACCCCACCAGGAGATATTTAGACACCAAGAGGCTATGAAGGGCTTCATCCGCCATGAGATCATCAGGCACAAGCTCAAGGCATCAGAGGCCCCCAAGGACTTCATCAACTGCTATCTGGCCCAAATCACCAAGGTGGGCCTGAACTGGCTGCAAGGGAGCAAGGATGCTGTGTTCCCAGGCTGCACCTTGTTACTAGGCTATGGTCTCAATCTTTGACTAGTCACTGTCTCAGTCTGCACGGTTTTTTTCAAAATACCCTGAAGGGTGAGATTCAGAAAGGATTTTCCATCTGGATGCTGGTGGTTCACGCCTATAATCCTAGCTACTCAGGAGGCTGAGATCTGAAAATCATGGTTCAATGTCAACTTTGGCAGGATAGTACATGGGACTCTGATCAATTAATCACCAAAAAGCCAGAAGTGGAGCTGTGGCTCAGGTGGTGGAATGCTAGCCTTGAGTACAACAGCTCCGAGACAAGCCCACAGGCCTGAGTTCAAGTCCCAAGACCAGCATACAGAAAGACAGGCAGACTGACAGAAAGATGGAGGAAGGAAGGAAAGAAGAAAAGGAGAGAGGGGTAAGGGAAAGAAAGAAAAGAAGGAAGGAAAAGAAAGAAAAAGAGGAAGAAGAGAGAGGGAGGGAGGAAAGAAGAAAGAAGAGAAGGAAGGAAGGAAAGGAAGGAAGGAAGGAAAGAAAGAAGGAAGAAGGATTTTCATTATTTTTTCAAGCCAGGGCTGGCTCTGCAGACAGGGTTAGGCAGAGAAGAAGAGTTGGCTACTGTTTGGTTCAGAACCCCAGGAGGAGAATCCCCATGAAAAGTTGTCTGTAGCAGTCCTGAGACCCAGCCCTCTGACACCCAAGGAGTTCAACAAGGTCTTGGGACATGCTGGGCCTCAGCAGATACCAGGGCTCTGTTGCTGCCCCAATCCACCCACTTCCCATCTCTCTCCCAGGCCTCAGACGATCCTATCTCCACATTCAACGAGGAGAACTTGATCCAAGTGGTAATTGACCTGTTTCTGGGAGGCACGGACACCACAGCCACCACTCTGCACTGGGCACTCATTTATATGGTCCATCACAGAAACGTCCAGGGTGAGGGGCACTCACAGGCTGCCTAATTGTCTCATGCTGGTAATCCTCCTTAGGGCTTTGGTGGCTTATGTTCTCAGCTACGTGGTACAGCAGTACGGGGACTGTTGACAGCTCTGTGTATATGTGCCTGCATGCTGGTACCAAGGCTTGAACTCAGGGCTTCATGCTTTCACTCTGATTTTTTGCCCCTCACAGCTGGCTCTCTAATACTTGAGCCATGCCTCCAGTTCAGTTTCTTTTTTTTGGTCGGCTGTGGGGCTTGAACTCTGGGCTTGGGCGCTATCCCTCAGCTCTTCAGCTCAAGGCGAGCACTCTACCACTTGAGCTACAGCGCCACTTCCGGTTATCTGGTGGTTTATTGGAGATAGGAGTCTCACGGTCTCTACTGCCCGGGCTGGCTTTGAACCGAGATCCTCAGATCTCAGCCTCCTGAGTAGCTAGGGTTACAGGCGTGAGCCACCAGCGCCCAGCTCCAGTTCAGTTTCTTTTGCTGGTTAATTGGAGATAGAATATCCTGCCAGGCTAACTCTAAACCACCATCCTCAGATCTCAGCCTCCTGACTAGCTAGGATTAAGGCATGAGCCACTGGCAACCAGCAGGTGTTGACAGTGTTACATCGAGCTAGAAAGGGTTCAATTACCAGCCTACAGCTCACTGTGTAACCTTGACCAAGCCATTATACCTATCAAAAACAGTGAGAATCGGGTAAGCAGTAATGACTCCATGCCAACTAAGTGCCAAGCTCCAGGATGATAGCCAAAAGGTGGCTGGAGTCCACCCAGGGATAAATTAAATTCAAGTCCTGGCTCCAGTTTTGTGACCTTGGGTAAAAGGATGTGCCTTGGTAGGGCCTTCTTTCTCAAGCACGAGGATCTTTGTATCTGGAGTGCCCCCACGTGGCAGGGGATGGAATCTGGGTTCTGTACCTCCTGCAGGAGCAAGCCCTGCAAATTGTTCACAGGAAGCATGCTCTCTCCTATGGGATCAGGGATGGCAGGGTGGGGTGTCCTGGCCCAAGGGGCAGCATGGCGCGCTGGTGGCTCTGGGTTGAGAGATGGGATGCAGGCCTGGGGGAGGGGGAGTGGGGGGTGCTAGGACACCATCTTCCCCAGACTCACACTGAGCCACCCGCAGAGAGGGTGCAGCAGGAGCTGGATGCAGTGCTGGGCAGCGCCCAGGCTGTCTGCTACGAGGACCGTGAGCGGCTGCCCTACACGCGCGCCGTCCTCCACGAGGTGCAGCGTGTCAGCAGTGTGGTGGCCGTGGGTGCGGTGCGCCAGTGCGTGACGCCCACCACGCTACATAGTTACTACGTGCCCAAGGTAAGCGGCCCTGCTCAGCCCACATCCAACCAGCACCCGCAGATAGGCCCTTCCTGCCCTTAGCTGCAGCTTCTGCCAACCCGCTATCTTGCTGTCATTCAGTTATCTGTCTGCCTATGGCATTCATATAGGGGATAAGACCTCACATACGCTGGGAGCTCAGGCCTGTAATCCTCACTATGCAGGAAGCTGAGATCTAGGGAACGTGGTTCAAAGCCAGCCCGCACAGGAAAGTCTTTGAGATTTTTAACTTCAATTAACTAACAAAAAGCCAAAGGTGGAGCTGTGGCTCAAGTGGGAAAGCGCTAACCTTGAGTGATAAAAGCCAAGGGACAGCTGAGGGTCCTGAATTCAAGCCCCAGTGTGGGCACAATTAAAACAAACAGGGCTGGGAAGGTGGCTCCGTGGTAGAATGTTTGCCTTGCGTGCATGAGGCCCTGAGTTCGATTCCTCAGCACCACATAAGCAGAAAAAGCCGGAAGTGGTGCTGTGGTTCAAGTGGTGGAGCACTTGCCTTGAGCGGAAGAGCTGAGGGACAGCGCCCAGGCCCAGAGTTCAGGCCCATGACCAACAAAACAACAAACAAACCCTAGTCTTCCAGCAAGCTTTAAGTAAATGGGGCTGTTACACATTATATATCCAGACACAATGGGGCTGTACTTAGCTTTGAATAGAAGCACTGCAATTGATCAGTAACCATTCAAATTAGTTTATATCATATGTCCATTAACCTACTGAAGTTCAAATCTTAAGCCATAAAGAATAATGTTTCTCATATATTTGATGCTAACTCTGACAAGCTATTGTCTATCACTTAAATATATGCACAGATTTTTAGAAACCACATAACGCAAATAGCACTAAAATAATAAATAACTATACACCAGCAATCTTAGCTCCTCAGGAGGCTGAGATCTGCAGGATCATAATTCCATAGTTCAAGGCCAGGCAGCGCAGAAAAGTTCACTAGACTCTATCTCCAAAATAAGCAGTAAAAAATACTGCTGAAAGCATGTCTGAAATTAGGGAAGCAAGCCTAGGCTCTGAATTCAAACCCCAGTATTAGAGAAAAAAAGGGAAAATGATAAATAGCTAAAATAACAAGGGCTATCTGTCACTTTCATGACTGTTTTTAGGTCTCAGTGGCTCATGGACTGGGCTGGAGGCCACCCTTGGTTCTCTGGCATATAAATTTCCTCATATGGTGGCTTCAAAACGTGGTATCTGACCTCAGTTCATGAAAAATTAGAGAGCACCCAATAGAGAAGCTACAGTCTTTTTATAAATCAGTCTCCAGTGTGAAATCCAGTCACTTTACCATAGTCCATTTGTTCGAAGTAAGAAACAAGATCCAGCCTAGTCTGGGAAGGAGATTATGTAAAGGTATGAATACCAGGAGCTAAGATTCTTTGCAGGGTATGTATGTATGTATGTAGTGCCAGTTACTGTGGGCTTTTTCCACTCATGTTAAACACTCTACCACTTGAGCTACATCTCTACTCACAGCTTTTTGCTGGTTACTTGGAGAAAAGAGTCTTCAACTTTTCTTCTCGGGCTGGCTTTGAACTTCAATCCTCAGATCATAACCCACTGAATAGCTAGCGTTACAGGTGTGTGCAACCAGCCATTTGGCTTTTCAGGGGCATTTAAAAAGTAAGGTACTGGGGCTGGGAAGGTGGCTCAGTGGTAGAGTGCTTGCCTTGCATGCATGAGGCCCTGGGTTCAATTCCTCAGCACCACATAAACAGAAAAAGCCAGAAGTGGTGCTGTGGCTCAAGTGATAGAGTGCTAGCCCTGAGCTGAAGAGCTGAGGGACAGTGCCCAGACCCAGAGATGAGGCCCCCATGGCCGACAAAAACAAAAGGTAAGGTACCAACTGGCACATGCATGAAATCTCACTCAAGAGGCTGAGATCTGAGAATCACACTTCAAAGCAGCCTGGGTAAGAAAGCCTCAGACTCTTATCTCCAACTAAGCTCTCACACACACACACACACACACACACACACATAGGTGGAATTGGGGCTGGGGCTCAAGTGGTAGAGCACTGGTCTTGAGCAAAAAAAAGCAGGAAAGCTCAGCACCCTGGCTCTGAGTTCAAGCCTCAGGATTGGCTCAAAAATAGAAAAAAGAAAGAAAAAGAAAAAAGAAAAGAAGGAAGGAAGAGAGGAAAGAAAGAAAGAAGGAAGGAAGGAAGGAAAAGGTACTACAGGCATATAGGTGACAAGATGCCATTTTAATAAAAACAAGTCACTCATCTTGTTGCTCCAGTACGGGTAACCCTATACATGTAAAGGTGTAGCTGGAGCCCAAGAATTTTCTCAGGAAGAGGCTCTGGCTCTGCGGCGAGGCTCCAGCCTGTTCATCCTTGGAAGCCATAGTGGTACAATGTGGCACGTTAGATACAGGAGTGGTACAGAGAGAGGGTACGGAGTCCAATCTCTTCCACCATGACAGTCTTTATTCAGTGCTTACCACTGTGGTGGAAGTTAGGCCCTCCCTAAGGGCCCTACTAGGGTGCCAGTACTAATAAATGATCATACTTAAGATTCCTGCCTCAATCCATTTCTCCTTTAACAACCTCTAGATATTATGTAGACACTCCCTAAAGATAATTCCTTTGATATTATTGTTGTGACTTAGTAAATTGCTCAAAAAACATAGCTATAAAGTGATAAACTCGGTTTTATCTTCATATTCCTGGGACTACAAAAGTTTTGCTCTGTCTACCACACTCAGCATCAGTCCTATTGCTTCCAGTAAGCCTATCTAGCTTTCACCAAAAATGAATTGATGCAGTTGGGTGCGGGTAGCTTACAACAATAACCCTAGCTTCTCAGCAGGCTGAGATCTGAGGATTGTGGTTCAAAGCCAGCACAGGCAGGAAAGTCTATGAGACTCTTATCCCCATTTAATCACCCCAAAACTCAAAGTGGAGCTGTGGTTCAAGTGGTAGAGTGCCAGTCCTGAGCAGAAAAGGTTAAGGGACAATGCCCAGGCCCTGAATTCAAGCACCAGCACACACACATACATACACTAATAATAATGAATCTATGTGCTAAATGAAGATGTTTTTCATTGTTTGTTGGCCTGTCTGGTTGGCTGATACTAAATTGTCCTTGGCAATAATTGATCACCAAGTCCACAGTTTGTCAAATGTTGCCTGGAATATGTGTTCAGAAGCACAGACTCAGCTCTTCCTGCTGCTGGCACAGCAAGAGGACCTGAGCTCAGATTGTCTTAAAGTGATGTCAGATCAAGTTAAAAGGGGGGAGGGGGGCAGGAGGACCAAAGTTCAGCTCTGTTTCATGCTGTTTGGGATTCAAAATTTCCTTAGAACCTATTCCTGCCAATTTGATTCTAGAATTGCTCTGCGATAAAGACTCCAGAGGGCCTTTAGCAACCTAGAATCGATCTGGAACTTTTACAATTTGGGGGAGGGATGGCTGCTGAAAGCTGAGTCAGAGATTGTCAGCGTGTCATTAAATGGTATAGATATCCCTAAACAGTTCCCTGTCATTTCCTTAGCTGAGTGATAGCAACAATAGTAAAGGTTCCTAATACAATGGCTGCATTTCAAGCTTGTGTCAGCTCGGGCATTCAACTTGATTGTGGACTTCAAACTGCCATTTATCAAGGAGAAGCTAGCAGAGAGTTCCCAGGAGGCACCCAGCAGGCAGATGGCAGAGTCAACTTGTACAATTGGATAGACAAATGATGCTTTGAACCTGTTTTCATGAAGTAAGGTCAACCACCTTGCAAAGTGGCTAGGACAGCTCTCTAGAACAGAATATAAATGATCCTGGAGGGAATATAGAATTCTGCCCAAGAGACCCTTCATGTGAAGGTAATTCTTATGAGTTGTTGGGTATGAGCATAGTGGTTCATGCCCATAATCCCAGGTGTTGGGAAGTAATCACAGTTCCAGGCCAGCCAGATCAAAAAAAATTTAAATAATAATAAAGAAAAAAATCAGGGCTGGGAAGATGGCTCAATGGTAGAGTGCTTGCCTTGTATGCCTGAGGCCCTGGGTTCGATTCCTCAGCACCCACACAAGCAAAAAGAAAAAAGACCGATGTGGCGCTGTGGCTCAAGTGATAGAGTGCTAGCCTTGAGCTGAAGAGCTGAGGGACAGCGCCCAGGCCCAGAGTTCAGGCCCCACGACCGGATCCAAAAAAAAAAAAATTTAAAAAAAGAAAAGAAAAAAAGAAAAAAATCAATGAGTTAGTAGGACTCTGTCTCAAAGAATAAGCTGGGTAAAATGGTTCACAGCCCAAGAAACTGAAAAAGAACTAAAAGCAAAAAGGGCTGGAGTCCGGGGGCTTGCACTCAAGGCCTGGGCTAGCACTCTACCACTTGAGCCACAGCCCCACTTCTGGCTCTTTCTGTTTATGTGGTGCTGAGGAATCGAACCCAGGGCTTCAAGCATGCCAGACAAGCACTCTACCACTGAGCCACATTCCCAGCCCCAGCCTTTGCTTTTTGAGACCAGGACTCACTATGTAGTCCAGGTTGACTCCAGTGCTGGGAGTACAAGTAGGTGTGCCACTGGCCGGCTCCTGTTAAAGTATTATTTTTTGTTATCTTTGTTTTATTTTTAAGCTCCTTTTGTCAAAGCCAAGAGTCCTATCATTAGCCACTTGATCCCCCCTGACTTAATTCTATGGTGTTTGGTGAGTGAGCCACAGGGTGGGAGGTCTTCTCAGAATCCTGGAGCTGAGGCACAGTAGCTCATGCCTATAATCCTAGCTACTGAAGAAGCGGAGATCTGAAAATCAAGGTTCAAAGCCAGTTAGGACAGAAAAATCTGTGAGACTTTCATCTCCAATAAACCAGCAGTAAGTGTGGTGCTGTGGCTCAAGTGGTAGAGCGCTCGCCTTGAGCTGAAGAGCTGAGGGACAGCGCCCAGGCCCAGAGTTCAAGTCCCATGACCCACAGAAAACAAACAAACAAACAAAATTAAAGACTTCAAAAAAAACCAGCAGAAAGCCAGAAGTAGAGGTGTGGTTCAAATGGTAGAGTGCCAGACTTGAGTGGAAAAGCCATATAAGAGCATGAGGCCCTGAGTGTAAGGCCTTGTATTAGCATCAAAAAGAAAAAAGAAAAGGTTCTGGCACTGCGTTTCCCATGTCCTGGGAACCCCATCCTTGCTCCACTTTGACCTACACATACTGTTTATGCCCAGTGTAGCGCCATATGGGAAGGAGCAGAGGCCTGCAGCCTTTGGTGCCTTCCTGACCACTCACCTCACTCGGAGACAGCAAGGGCTGGAATTAGGGTTACAGGAGAGATTAAGGCTATAGGAAAGATTAGCATTAGGGTGAAGGTTATGTGAGGGTTGTGGTTGGGATTAGGGCAAGGATTATATTCAGGTTCTCCTCTCCTACTCCTATAGAGTCAAGAGTCAAGCTTTCTATCTCCTAGAATCCTGTGCTAGAGAGAGAGAGAGAGAGAGAGAGAGTGTGTGTGTGTGTGTGTGTGTGTGTGTGCGTGTGTGTGTGTGTGTGTGTGCGCGTGCGTGCGTGTAAGAAACAGAGACAGAGAACTGGGCTTGGACTCAGGGCATGGGTGCCATCCCTTAGGTTTTTTGCTCAAGGCTGGTACTCTACCACTTGTGCTACATCTCCATTCTGGCTTTTTAGTGATGAATTGAAGTTCATTGAAAATGAAAGTGTCACGAACTTTTGTTTTCCAGTCCTGGGGCTTGGCTTGAACTCAGGGCTTAGGCGCTGTCCCTGAGCTTCTTTTTGCTCAAGGCTAGCACTTTACCACTTGAGCCACAGCACCACTTCCAGCTTTTTCTGTTTATGTGGTACTAAGGATTCAAACCCAGGGCTTCATGTATGCTAGGCAAGCACTCTACAGCTAAGCCATGTTCCCAACTCAAAAGTGTCACAAACTTTGTTGCCTGGGCTGGCTTTGGACTGTGATGCATAGCTCTCAGCATCCTGTGTAGCTAAAATTACAGTTGTGAGGGGCTGGGAATGTGGCTTAGTGGTATAGTGCTTGTCCAGCATGCATGAAGTCCTGGGTTCAATTCCTCAGTACCACATAAACTAAAAAAGCTGTGAGTGGCTCTGTGGCTCAAGTGGTAGAGGGCTAGCCTTGAACACAGAGGCTCAGGGACAGTCCAGGCTCTGAGTTCAAGCCCCAGGACTGGCCAAAAAAAAAAAAAATTACAGTTGTGAGCTTACTGGCATTGGGCTTCTACTCTACCTTTATCTGCCTTTCCAACACTCAGATTTTTGTTGTTGTTGTTGATCATTCCTTTCTCTCCACCTGTTTCTGTTTTTCTCTCAAACCTGGGCTGCTGTAAACCCATGGGCACAAAGCTCAGCCAGGAGGGAGTAAGCCTGTGGGATCTCTTCCGGGGGGCCTCTGAAGGGTCCAGTCACTCCCACCAGCACACCAGGAGTTTCCCTGAGGTCTTCTGACCCTGAGCTGGGCTCTGGCCCCTGAAGCTCCTTGTGGGCCTGTGTAGCAGCTTCTCTCTGCAGGGAACTATCATTTTGCCCAACCTTGCCTCTGTGCTGTATGACCCTGAGTGCTGGGAGAACCCTCGGCAGTTCAACCCTGGCCATTTCCTGGACAAGGATGAGAACTTCGTGGTCAATGAGGCCTTCTTGCCCTTCTCTGCAGGTATGAGGCATAGTATAGAGTCCTGCGTGGAGCCAGGACGGGAAGATAGGGACACACACACAGGCCACTGCCACACTCTGACCTTTCTCCTTGACTTCCAGGACATCGGATGTGCCCTGGGGACCAGCTGGCTCGAATGGAGCTCTTCCTGATGTTTGCCACCCTCCTTCGGACCTTTAGCTTCCAACTGCCAGAAGGGAGCCCAGGGCTCAGGCTGGAGTACGTCTTTGGGGGCACTCTGCAGCCTCAGCCCCAGAAGATCTGTGCACTGCCTCGCCTGAGCAGCCCCAGCCCAGACCTTACAGAGGAAGGCCTGTAGCGGGCTAGGTGTCTGGAGCCCTGCCCCCACCCCTAAACCCCTTCCTCATTCTCTCTTGGCTTCTGCAAGTTTCAAGAAGAGGAAAAGCAGGGGTTCACCGAGTTCAGCCGCTCACTGTTCCTTCTAATACAGCATCAAGGGTGATAGTGGGAAGTAGATAGCTCATTTCTTAATATAGGTTAGTTACTCTTGGTAAGGAAGGACTTTACAACTTTAAGGTTAGGTATTAAATCAGTTTATATTATTTGAGGAACCAATCAAACTTGACCAGGTAGCAGTCAAATAGGCTCAGAGAAAAAGGCATAACTACAATGAGTATAAATACTACAAATGTTCAGGATTGATGAACTAAAAACTGGGCAGCCTATTTTCTGCCATCTCCTGACCTCTTCTGGCCAAAGGGAAGAAGCTCAGGTCTCTACCTATCCAGGACAGAGAATTTATATCCCAGAAGCCCAGGTGCAGCAAATTCTTTACTAAGGACCCTCTATTTTCCCTGCAAGGATCGCCAAGATTTGAAACATTGATTCTACAGACAAGTCTTATTTACCAAAAAATGATTTGCATTATGTAAGTTGAAATCAAAGTAAGAGACTACTACACTTCTGTTAGAATTGCATAAAAACAATACTTGGGCAATCTCAAGAATTAGAAGATGCAGAGAAACCTGAACTCTTGTACACTGTTGATGGGAATGTTAATCATAGAACCATGATGGGAAACAGCTTGGCAATTTCTTGTGAAAGCAGGCATGACACTAGCCAACATACAACCTAGTAAGCTCACAATCCAGTCATACTAGTTGTTGGTATTTTTAAAAAGAAGTAAAAGTGTATGTTCTCATAAACACATATTACTTGATCTCATTTTTTTAAAATTTTATTTAATTTTATTTGTGAACATACTGTACAGAGGGGTTACAATTGCATGGGCAGGATAATGCGTACATTTCTTACCAAGCATTGCAGCCTCCTCCTTTGT